TTAGACTGGATCTAAGGAAGAAATTCTTTCCAGTGAGGGTGGTGAAACCCTGGCAGGGGTTGCCCAGAGAGGGGGTGGAGGCCCCATCCCTGGGACCATTCCAGGCCAGGTTGGACGGGGCTGTGAGCAACCTGATGTGGTTCAAGGTGTCCCTGCTCCTGCAGGGGGGTTGGGCTGGGTGACCTCTGGGGGTCCCTTCCAACCCAAAACATTCTATGATTCTATGAAAAGCACAAAATAAACTCGGCTGTGTTTCTCTCTGGCAGGTTCTCCTCGAGAAGTACAAGTACGTCGAAAATTTCCGTTTGATCGACGGCCGCCTCATCATCTGCACAATCTCTTGTCTCTTTGCGATTGTAGCTTTGATTTGGGATTACCTGCACCCCTTTCCTGAATCCAAACCTGTCCTTGCCTTTTGTGTTGTATCATATCCTTTACAGATGTCTCATTTATACCAAAAGAATTCAATTTTCCCCATGAAGCACAAGAAAACCCTTCTCTGTAGTCCCATTTTCAAGCCTGTGGGAATTTTACTTCCCGTGGCGTGGAGATCAGCTGATAATCAAATAGTTTTCATGTGATGGCCAAATTCCTGCCTGTCTGGCTGTCACACACCTAAATTTGGGTGGTGTGGCGGTCCAGCCTTCCCCTCTGGCATCCTGGGCCACAAGTTGGCTCGTGTTGAGGAGTCAGCCGCTGCCTGGGCAGCTGAGCTGCTCTCCGGGCTCCCGATTTCCCAGATCCCAGACGCCGACTGCGCAGACTCCTCCACTTCGGCCTGTTAATCTCAAACTGGAGATCAGCCCTTGAAAGCTTGGGGGCTTGGGTTGGGGTTTGGTTTTGGTTGGCTTGTTTTAATTCTCCCTATAGCCGGGTTACGGAGGCGCCCGCTCTTGCCAAAGACGACAGAGAGAAGGGTAAAAGGGCGGTGAGTCTTGCCAGCACCCCCCACCCGCAAGAGCAGGCGCTGCGTTTAGGGGGGGCAGCGCTGCAAATCCGGGTTTAAATCTTTAGGTGTCAACTGTTTAGAAGTCAACTCTCAAATTTCCAGTATTACAGCACAGCTGGGTTGGGGTTTTTTTTTTTTTTCCATTTGGACTCCCAGAGTTGACCTGTCGCTGATTTCCCTGCACCTCCTCTAGCAAAACAGACGCCCGCAAAGCTTTTACAGCCGCAACGTGCGCGACAGATGCGCGGTGCTGCCACCCAGCCCCCTTTCGAGGGCGATTTTTGTCGGTACCAGTGAGGCAGCCTGAACTGGTAACCTGGAAGCTCGTTGCCAGCCTGGGGGCTGGGTGATCCTGCCCGAGCCGTTGCCCGAG